CATAAATATGAAGAACGGAAAGACCCTAAGTCGGGCGCGTAGATCTCACGCGCAGCKACTTATCTCCAAAATCCTCGCCGAAGCTTTCTCCTCCGTTCTCATCGGCCAACCTCTCCCGTTTCTAGCTTCGACCGGTGCCGTGAGAGAACAATCTTCTCTTGTCTCTTCTGCTATTTTGTCAGAACCGAAATCTTCTAGATCTGCTAAGTTTATCTTGTCTCTCGCGGTGAATGGTCGGAGTAACGCTGTGCATGACGGCCGCGTCTAAGTGTCGGGGTTCTCTTTTGCGGTGGCTTTTTCGCTTGTCAATGGAGTGTGGTTTCGGCGGAGAACAGCTAACAGCCCTACACTTGCCTCACGCAGCTCTCCCAGCGTAGATCTACTTGTCTCTGACCTTCGGTTCGGGCGACGGTGAAGCTCTAAGCAGCAGTGGAGCGACGTCTACTGTCTGGTTTCGTTGTAGTGGACGGACTTAAAACCGTCATAAATTACGTTTTCATGTTTTTACTTTTATTGCCATGAAATCATTTGTATAGATTTATAAACTTGTTTTGTAAACCTAAAACGTACTCATTTTCAATGAAATATTTACATTCTTAGAAAAAAAAAAAATTCATAAATACGGTCGGTCCTAGAAACGTACGGCGTGCAACGGCGTGAGGAACTAAAAAGTAAAATGCAATAACGTCATAACGAGTTTAGAGACTTCTTCGTATGTTCAACGTCATTTACAAATACATAAAAATTGTAACAATTGCTTACGGAAATTTCCCGGAAGCTGCATCGTCGTCTTTGTAAATGAAGAGCATGAGCAATATGCATGCATTTGTTTTGTTGCCTCTTCGAAATCAGTAAGGCTCCCTAATATGTACGTGATTTATTGGGCCATCAAGAGATTCATGGCCCATCATAGAAATGGGCTTTTACATCTCCTTCTCTTCTGGTTTTTTTGGGTCACATTACATCTCCTCCTCTTCTAGTTGGAGAATCTCTCTCTTTCTTGTGAATTTCAAGAGATGGGAAGAGTTGTGGGACGATGAGATTTAGAGAATCTCATGCAACTTTCTAAACGAGTGAAAAAAATTAATATTCTTACTTTTAAAAAGAGAACAATTCTTATGATATGCTACTAAACTCTCTCATATCATCTAACATTGAGATTTAAGAAGAAACAAAACGGAAAAAAAAAGAGTTAAAGAAACGTAGGAAAAATACAGTTTCAAGTTTTAACAAAAGAGATTTTTCGTTTTTCTTCCAACCATTCTGGTTACTTGCTCCTAATGTGTATGTGCCTGATGAAAAACATAGAGACATAACTGCTTCCTTCTTCACTTTTTCGTGATTACAAAATGCTTTTTGCTTCTCTCTTTTACACACATGTCTCTCTTTTTCTCTCTTCCAAATCCAAAGCCATGATCTTTTGATTCTTGTGTGGTTATGTCTGTCTTAAACTTCTTCCTTCACGGCTTGTGTAATTTGAATCCAAACACTCTTGGAACATAGTTTTGTGTTGCCTTTGGTGGCTTCAGATGTCCATAAGTCATCAAGAACAGATGTGGAAATGTTGTCCCAAAGTAAGCTCCATCAATGTCTGTTCATTCTTTTAAGGAAAAAACCAAACAGAGATAACACCTGCAAGACCGATCTATGGAAACTCGAAAAGATCATTGCTTTATGCAATAATAATCAAACATAAAAAATCTCCATTATAAGATATGTATCAGCAGTAAGAATTAAACATCAAAAAGGATACTGCCTTGATACTTCGATCGCGGGTAATAAATGTCTTCACATTTAGGGCAATATATCTTCACGGTGCTTGATCGAGGTAAATCTGATTGACCAACGGGAAGACAAGGTTGGCCACAGCAATAAACCCTAGGGCATCTCCCAAAGTCATAGTTTTTGTATTTGTCCAACTGCAAATAAATGATCAAAGATTGAATCTTTTGTAGGATGATGTTTGAAATGTGCAAATGAGTTCAAAGATTAATTTACCATTGCAGCTAACCCTTTGCTTGTCAATATGTAACGAGCGTGAATCAGTCCATAAAGCATCTCCGCCGCTGACTCGATCAATTCATTCTGTTCCTCTGTAAATATCTCTCCTGTTACCGACCCGAATCCAAATCAAACATTCAAGAGACACAATTCGTAAAAGGGAACCATTCACTGTTATCCCTTAACACTACATCAATGCACATTCTTCTTTTGCCTAGCTATGAGACCACCACAAAAACTATTAAGAACATTTGAACTTACCATGAGAAGATTCAACATCCAAAATCAAATCAAGAGCGTACTCATAGTACGGAACTAAACTGCTTAGTCCACACAAGTTAAAGTCATCTTGAATGTAATCATCATCAACTTCACAAAAGAACTCGTTTCCTCTTAAATTGCAGAACCAAGAAATCCATGAGGTGTCGTCTTCTCCATCAGAACCACTAACATCTGATTCTTCACTATCTGTATCTGATTCATCTGAACAAATCACCACAAAAACATCTCATCAGATTACATAAGAAATTCACAGACTAACAATAAATGCTTAATTACATTAATTCCCAAATCAAGAAACACATAGCTAATTCTAGGTTTAATAAGTCTCCAATTTTTTCCCCAAAATGAATATGCGAATTCAATAGAGAGAGAAGAAGAGGGAAAAAAAAACGAAACTGACCATCTGAGACAACATTGTTCTTAGAAGAACGAGAATCTCTATGGTCATGCGACTGTTTCCCAATCAAGACGGAGTTCGCCGCCGACGAGGTGACGGTTCCTTTGCCTTTACCGTTAACTGAACGAGAGGTCGAAGGAGAAGGATGTTTATCGAAAGTTTCGTTGATTCGTTTACGATCCACAACCTCAGGTCTCGAACCCACCGTTCCTCTCTCTCTATACATGATTTCTAAACAAATCCCTTCTCTCTCTCTCTCTAATTTGAATTTTCCGATAGAGCTATTCTACAGATTTCACCGGCGAATCATGCCGGTGTGAGATCGAGAAGCGACGGCGAAAAATTGAGCTCTAGGGTTTTGAAAAGGGAAG